CCTTCAATTATGCAAATTAACAACGGGCGTATAATGAAGTCATCTTTTGCATGTATATAGCTTTAGAGAGGTACGAGACAAATGGCAATACCTGACCAATTAGACCGTGGATATTTATGCAAATATTTTTGTGAGAGATAGAAAAACGGGACTCGAGAAGCTTATTACGTCACTCATTTAAATTGACAATTTTTACGCATGGTATATTTTTCATACATTTTTCCAAACATTTTAACTTGCAAAAAATACTAAACGGGCCATCGAATTAGGAGTCCTCCATTAGGACCGCTATTTCAGCATTTTTCACGTTTTCACAAAAAGCAATATATCATTCTTTCTCGACAAATACAAAGTATGTTGAAAAAGTAACAGAACTTTTTAAATTTAAGGGAAACTAGCGCCATCTATTAAAACAATATTTTATCTGAAAACATTATATACCTCCTCTATAAAACACAACAATCATTATTGGAATCGAGCAACGAATTGTAAACTTGTAGCGTTTAATGCGACAGAACCTTTCGTCACCGTGTCACAAAATCACGGGGAAGCGCAACAAATTGCTTGCGTTGAATATTGCGAGGATCTTATCAAAACAGCCAGACGAAACTGCACATTCCTGGAATCAATTGTAACTAGTGATGAGACTTGGTGCTTCAAGTATAAACCTCGAACAAAGCGCCAAAGTGCTACGTGGAAATCTCCAGGCTCTCCAAAATAAAAAAAATTGCGATTCCAGAAGTCCCGAGAGAAGACAATGTTAATTTGCTTTTACGATTCTAAAGGAATCTTCGGTAATTCGTTCTACTGGGACAAAATGTTAATGGCGAATATTATCTGGGTGTTATGGAACATTTGTGGAAGAGGATCATTCGTGTGAGGCCCGAATATCGAGCGCTGGAAAGTTGGTTTCTGTTGCATGATAACGCACCATGTGAACTGTCGCTGTTCATAAATTTTTGGCGAAAAAACAAGTTTGTTCCAACATCCTCCAAATTCTGACTTATCCCTATGTAAACACTTTCTTTTTCCAAAACTGAAATTAGCTATAAAAGGAACGTTTTATAACACTGTTACACTGTTGTTAATTCTTTTCTTTTTATTTAAAAAGTTCTGTTATTTTTCCAACATAGTGTGTATGAACCATACTAGTCACATATTGTCGAATGATTGAAGACTTTCTAATCAATATTATCATCTTAATAGTTATGAATTATAAATTGCAGTCCCTTAAAAATGAAATCCCCCTATTTTTTATCGTACTCAATTACTTTTTGCCATGAAATCTCATTACCTGTCGCATCGAATAATCGCATATAATCCAGCATTTCTTTATTCATGGGAAAAAGCGGAGAACATAATTTACCATCGGAAAAGAAAGTAGCTACATAAACGACGCTAATAAGGCCCACAACAAATAACAGTCATTTGCAACATACATTTCTTGCTAAATTACGAGTCTTTTTAAGCACAAAATAATAGTTGCCTCGCGTTCCCATAAATTCGCTCGGATTATTCACATAATCAGCCACATGTAATTTCCTCCAGACGTATTTACGTTTTTATTGGCTTCCTTTCATAATTTATTCAATAAAACGGTTTCTCTTTGTGTCTACCCGATGAAAAGTTCCTTTCGTAATTATCTTTTCGTAAAATCCCCTCGTGAAGTTGTGTTTCTACTTGTCGAAGAAACGGATAGCGTTCACAATGCGCGATAAAGTCCACGTTACAATCCGCTCGTTACAGTTTATCCAATAAACGGCACAAAAGATATCGTCTCAAACGACTCCATTGTCAGGCATTGAAAGCTCGTTTCGTGACATTTTCGAAACAGATGGTAATGGCTTTTGCGCGCAGCTCGCGCGCCTTTTAATTATTAACACTCTATAACAATGGCCGCGATCTAATGCGTTCGCACACGCGTGTCTACCGGTTTAATTCGCGTAAACACGTCTGTAATTGCTACGAACATAAAACAGGTTTAAATTTAAACGTCGACCAAGACTTTTAACGACTCGGAGTCTTAGCAACACCGCAAACGTGTTTAAACAATGTTTGCGAACGGAGAAGATTTAACGCTCACTTTGTTTGCTTATGTTCTTTTAACAAGTATTTATTTCAGGAATATCGGGGAATTGTTCACATTCTTTGGTGCTCTGTTTGTAGTGATCAATTATCTGGTTTAAACTCATGAAGTGGTACCAGTTCAACAAGTAGTTAAAGTTGAACTACTTTAAAAAATAAGCTCTTTTAATATTGACAATTTTTGTGTAACTACTGTTTTATATTTTTCTTATGAAAATGATCTACATAGCACATGTTAGTAAACAAGATTGATATAAAAATTGTTTCTACAAAAAATACATACTTATGACTCGAGTTCACACAGCTGATTCTCGGATATTTTATTAAAAATATGCAGTAGTTAAATAACACTAGTGAAGTACTTTTGAGGTGTACGCAATTGCCAAATTGTTCAGTATAATTGAAAAATTGTCCAATATAACTTTTATTTACACAATTGAAAAATTGTTCGGTATAACTTGATTTACACAATTGAAAAATCGTTCCTTCATAAGTATTCCATTATGAATGTCCAAATATTACCTTCCTTACCTTAACAATTTTTTTTCAACCCCCTAAAAAGATTTAAACGTTAAAAAAGTATAGCTCTTAAACCTTCCAAAAGACGTTGAAACCCTCGAAAACCGACAAAGGTACACGCGAGGAATTTAACCGGCAAAGTAATTGGATGTCAAGGAAATAAGTGGTTAGTCCAATCATCGAGCTAATTTTGCTGCGTGTAGGTATATACATATGTATATGATCATGTCGTGTGTCGAGCAGTCGGGAAAGTAACGAATGTACTGTCTCCCTACGAGAAGAGAGCTCCAAGTTGGCTCGAGGTGCTCTTGAACGAATGGAGGTTGCCGAACGAACGGCTGCAGAGATATTCCGGTTCGTGAATAAATTGCCGATGGCAAGGCCACAACTAACGGCCGCCAGTCTGGCGTCGATATTCCTGCTGCCGTTTTGCACACACGTCGAATACGAAGAGTACGATGCACGCACCTCTTCCTCTTTCGCCCTCTTTTTTATCTTCATCGCGGCTAATTCCACGGTGCCGCGTCGGGGCGCCCTTGACACCTTCGAGCACCGCGATTCCGCACGGTGAACAGGTCGGGTAATGTCCCGCTGGTCGGGCGATTAAGGAAGCGGTTAACACGAGGACAATTAACACGAAGCTAGTTCTACTAAATAAATTTTACCGCAGTCGAAATGACTGGCTCTTTAAATAACACGTAATAATTTATTAATTTAGTACCAAAAGAAATTTCATATTATGGAACTCATATGAGCTGTTCATATGATGGGGCTGATATGAGCACTAGAACACTTAAATAAGTAGAGCAAGCATATTTACAACACTACTTCGACATACCGAAATACCTTTAAACTGACGTTATCCAAAATATCGCAAATAATGGAGATAAATAACTTGTCAACCCATTTAAAAAATATTTTATTTATAAATGATATTTTTATATATAACAAAAATAAACTTAATAAATTAATTAAATTTTAGTTTTTAATATTAATTATTTTTTATAGCTAAAATTATTTGAATGAATTTTTAATTAATTAAAATTATTGCATTAATGCATTAATTGTTATCAATTTCGTGAACATTCTGACAATACAAAATATGACACGAAACGTTAAGTCTCACCGGAATGTCAATAATTCAGATTTCTGGTTAACGCAGTTTGTGTATTTTAAAGCGAACGATGTCTTTCTTGCATGGATAACATAACGTGAAAAGAAGAGAAAAACGAATGCAGCATTTTATGCGATTTTTTCGATTATTGACCTCGAACTGTTCAAAAATATTTTCGACATGAACTGTCAAAACAACGCCTTATAAAATTAATAGGTTATACAAAAATTTTGTTCAAACTAAAAAATACAAGATGATAAATTACAATTGGTAAATCAGCGTCAACTGAACCGCGTAAAATGAATAAATCGCCACAAGAACATGTATCCAAAACCAGGAAAAGAAGAAAATGTTAAGGTTTGTTCCTTCTCCGTGATAACAGGAGGTTAATGAAAAATCAATAGAAGCAAGTATCGCGTGATATAATAAGTCATTAAAAATTGTACCATTTAGGTAAAATAAAGATTCATAAAGTAATAAAAAATGCGAAAGACCTGTTTAGACCCAGAATGTCCAGCAAACAGACAAATTGCAAGGTACTTGAAAAACTTTATAAATTGTAAATATTCGAATATTATGTTATTGTTCTTACAGTACTAGCAAACCACCGAAGAGTAAACATAAGAAAGGAAGACCTTTGTGTCATAAGAATTGTCCAACCAGCTCGAGGACTTCGATAAAACCGCGAAAGAGATCTAAATGTGCGAGGTCCAAGAAGAGATCGAAAGAACGATCGACTACGTCGAAAATTAAATATTGCAAAAAGTACTTTATATTTTATCTACGCAAATTTTAAACTTCCATAGTCAGCAAATTAAAATATTTCAAACTCCCATAAATAAAAAACCTAACTTAACCTAAATCCAAAAATTTTGTAAAATGCCGTACTATTAACGCCTGAATTCTAAAGATGTCCTAGCACTAACTGTAAATATATTAAAATGTGCAAATTTTAAACTTCTTAACTTCCATAGTCAGCAAATTAAAATATTTCAAACTTCTATAAATAAAAAACCTAACTTAACGTAAATCCAAAAATTTTGTAAAATGGCGTACTATTAATTAACGTCCGAATAGTACGCCATAATAGACGCCTCTAGAGAGACGTCCTAGCAGTAACTGTAAATATATTAAAAATACTTTTCTCACGTTGGTAGACCTTCGTTTAATTTACAGTAAAAAATGTCAAGCTTCGAAGCAGTACGTGGAAAGTTCAACGTCGGTACATGTGCCGGAGAAAATATGGTGAGTGATAAATAAATTATAGTCTTTAGAACAGCCACTTACATACTTTGCGAGAAGTCATTCGAAGCAACAGATCCTTTTCAACCTTGCATTCTTTAAATCCTCGTTCCCATGCCATTTCAGTGATTCAGCAAATAACTACCGATACTAAGGAACATTTGATATATCATTTACTATGCAATAACCATGCTAAACAAGGTGATAAAGTGTATAATGATCGTAATGGTTCAGTTTTACGTTTCAAAAAACAGTGTAAAATGTATTTATCGATGTCTCTGGAATTACCAACCTTTAAGCTTTTATGCACTTTTAGGTGAAATAAAATATTCTAAATTTTGTTCACTTTGTTTCGTTTACAATTAAAAATATTTTTAAACTACTTAACACATAGACAAATTAGAAAATATTCAGTTCTAATGAAAGATCATAACTGCAAATTTATATATCTTTTAATTTTCATTATTATAAAATATAATTTTTGTAAACCTTCTTTTTAGAAATTTTGTTTTTGTTAACACGCTCTTAACCTAAAGTCTGAAATATTTTATTCTTTGATTGCAGCGTAAGCAGTAAGGACTCAGTGAGACTGTGTACGTCAAAATTACCCTGCAAGGATCCACGACCTGGAAGAAGAACAACTTGCAATTGTCGTCCACGTCAAACTGTGCCAGAAAAGAAACGGCGGTCGAAACAGTACAGTCGACAGAGGAAGCTTTTGGCGCCACTTTGTATATGTGTTAGAACATCCAGCGTTGACACTTTCAGAAGAGACACCTGTCCAATTCTTGCTAAATATGGCGAATGTTGCTGCAGAAGACACCGAGTATGCAAATATTTCAACTGTTATTTACAACGCATCGCTTTAAATACGTATAAAAGCCAAATGAAGTGTTTATTACAGAGAAAGCGAAGTAAAAGAAATGAAACGTCGATGACACCCCGAAGAGATTTAGGAACAAAACGCAAATGTCACTGCCGCCCACCGACATCTAGGTTAGAATTATTTAAATAGTAAACGATCTATCGATATTATAAAGATAATAACATTTTCACGAATAACACTTAGGAACCAGCAAAATATATTTTTAAGAGGATTATCCTTCTTTCGTAGAAAGTTGCCGAAATTCAAACGTACTTCTAACAAGTCAGTATACATTTACGATTACAAAAATATTAGACATTTATAAATTGTTTGTTTTAGTCCAAAACCAAATCCACGACCGCGAGCTAGATCGTATCCTGCCGAAAATTGTGCTTCCAGAAGTTGTTTGAAAAATCGAAATAAAAGATCATCTGTAAGTATTAAAGCACATGAAGAAAAATAATGCAGAGCTGAAGTAATGTTCTTCCTTTATTTTAGGAGAGAAGGAAAGTGAAATTTTACAAATAAAGGTAATAATAGACTGATATTTCTAGTAAGTGTTTTTTATGTATTTGTTTACAAAATCAATGATAATTATTCTAAAAGATATTTTTGATTTATGAGCTACCGGTCAACATACTTAATAATTAAGTAATATCAACATAAATCAATACAGCATAAACGAATTAAGAAGTGTTCAATGCCAAGAATTATTTATTACAGAACATTTAACCAACTAAAGATTTGTTTCATGGTAAAAAAAGTATATCATCAAGCAAAGGACACAACATAAAACAGCAAGACTAATAAAAATTTTAGTCTATAATTTTGGCCACGTGTTTGTAGACCTTGTCATAATTATACAATGATATAAAGCCAATATGTAATATATAAAGATGAACATGAAATAGTTGTTAAATATTATTATTTCTCTTGTTCAATGATATCGAATAAACGTAAAGAAATCTCGTATGTATGTGTGAAACATATTTTACATGTATCTAAAAAAATGTAAGCTTAATTTAAAAAATTACAATTTTTTGCGCAGATATGTTAACATAACTTGAAGTTGAATATTTTTAATAAGTTTCACATACTGCTGAAAAATAAACAACTACTGTGAACCTTCATCTGCGTCAATAATCTACGACTTCATTTTGCATTTCGTCTAGAAATATCGTAAATATGTTTTAAATGACTCGCCTAAGACAGTGATTTTCAACGAAATAAAAGTCATGATTGTTTCTAAGACACATATTCATAAGTATTCAGTCATCATTCAAACGGATTTTATTAAATACCTATACTATTTATACTGCGTCAATCATCCTTTTTCACTGAAACAAAATAAAATTATTCTGGAGCTTGATTAGAATATATCTGCTTCTGAAGCATCAAGCTTCAAACATCCTGCTTCGATGCGAAGTTCTGTGATATAACGGATCGAGACAAAGCTCTCGGATGGTAAATTAAACTATTACATAACATACTGTATTATTTTCAATACACTGGAATGATCAGTCTCTTCTCACAGAATTGGCTTTCAACCACTTCATAACTAAATCCAGCCAATTATCAAGCCAAGCAAGGCTATCACATTTTTATATATGTTGTGAGATATTAATGAAAGTTTGAGGAATTAGATTAAGTATGTGATATAAGCGCTCAGAGCTGATTAATCTAACAAGATATTCTCTTAGTATCATCTCTGGCTCTCATTGCTAGGGAAGATACACATACATGTGTTAAAACAAAAATTCACCGCGTACTGCGTCTGTTTGCATTGCGTAACTGTTTTTCAATTTCAAACTGTCGTAAATCAGCTCTTTGTAAAAAGTCTTGACGTTCCAAATACCCGTCTTTGCCTTTATTATGAGTACTAATTTCTTCTTCCAAATTTTCTTCTTTCTTATAATTATCCCAATCTAATTTGGATTTCTCTAGTGTACTGATCTTCGCCTTTTTTCCAATTTGAGTAAGAACTGACGAAATGCCTCCTAAACCAGCTCTTTTGAAACCTCTTCCTCTTCCAGATCCTCTTCCTGCTGGAGCGGTGGAATTTCCAGTCTTTTCCGAATTTTCTGCAGATGAAAGTGTTAATCTAGCTTCTGCTGAATCTATTGGCACTTCCTTTTCAATCTTCACCTCTTCTCCAGCAAATTCAAAAACTTTAGTTATCTTTACTTTTTCCTCTACTTTTGGCTTTTCTAAAGGTGGTGATTTCTCTTTTGATTTACTTATTGCCTCCTGTGGCTTAGATTTAGATACAATTGCTTTAACAAAGAAAAATATACATATATATAGCATTACAACAACATATCTTTGTAATAACTATAACATGTTATAAAATTATACTTACCCGTATCTTTCATAAAATCAGCCCAAAGTGAATCAGCTCTTTTCTTTTCTTCTTCTTCAGTAAGTTTTTTCGTCTCTTTCGACTCTTCCTTTTCTTCTTCTTCCTCTTCTTCCTTCTCCTCAGATTTCTTTAATTTTTTTCCTCGTCTATGCTTCTTAGACTTCGACTTTGTCACCTTGTTTCTCTTTGTCCCTGCTTTCTTTGTGGTTTCCCGTTTATTTTCATCGTTTTCATCTTCAGGACCACTTTCAGCATCACCTTCAGATTCTACCTCTGATACAGGTTCACTGTCTACACCATCAGGAACATAGTCTTCATCGTCTTCATCAGAATCAGAAGGCAACTGATGTTCTTCAGTCATATTCAATTATAATTTAATTGGTGATATACCTGTAACAATACATCGTGATAGCTTATTTACCAATCAATGGAACAGAATCAAAAAATATTTGTTTATAAGTAAATTTATTAATTCTATTAAAATACACATTGCGTTTATTTCCTTATATCGATATTTGAAGTAAAATTTATCAAATATACTTTTATCCAATGATTGTTTAAGTTTGTATTAAACAAACTAAGCTCTGTATTTTAGATAAGACACGCATTCGAATTCGAGGTTCCGTATACAAATATACTACCTAACCTCTTTAAAGCACACAATTCCACATACTAATAATTGAAAACTAACAAATATTAATTTCTCATCGTTATTCTAATACTTACGACTTTCCTCCAAAAACACGACCTTTTATACTAAAAATTCAGTGACACGGCCAACTGGTTTCCGGAACTTTCGTCAGAATATTTGAAACGTTCTTCTACTTTCGTTGCCCACCACTTATCCGTAGCTCACTAATAACAAACTCTGAACAAAAATCGCTGGAGTTTTAAAAACTAGTATAAACAAACACCACCGAACTAAAGAAAATCGCAGAAAAATTAACAATTGAACAGTACGAATTGCCTTCTGATTCGCAAATACTTTCGACCGACATCATCAGCCATTTTCATTGCGAATAAAGCGCTATCTTTAGAAGAAACAGTAAACTGAAATGCTTATTACATTGCATAAGTACTAAAATACATTACGACTTCATTTAAAAGAATGTACTATATTCATTATTTAGTAGGACATTTATATCACATACAGTTTTTAAATTGTTTAAACAATTTTCATCTTCTTAGATGATTATGATACCGACATCTGTGTGCAACTATGTACAGCTCTCATATTCTTGATGAATGTACAGAAATAGTTTTACAAATTTAATAATTCTTTATAAAGAAAATTATCTTCAAAATTATATTCAAATTTATATTTGATAATCAGTAAAAAGCGAATTGATGTATTATTACATATTGCATACTATGCTCTCATTTTGTCTTAATATTAAGTGGAAATCTAGTTTAACATTTATTTATAGGAAGGCTTCGCCTACTTGTCTCAATACAGGTTATTCGTTATAAAAATTTCAACAAATTAAAGGAAAAAATCTTGTTAATTTTTTTTAAAGAATATTTGATTTATATAAAAAAAATTAGACTGTCAAACATTTAAATTTAATTGTCAAACATGTTTTGTTTTCTTTTTTATTATTTCGCGGGGAATATTTAAATATTTCATGTAGATATATGTGTAAAGAGTAAATTATTAAAAAAATAACATTTAAAGTTAAATGACAATAAAAAACTTCCAAATAGTTTGCTAAAAATGAATCATAATTATAACATTTTTAAAAATCACTCGATATTCGGTTCCATTAAAAATTCAAAATAAATTAATTTATTTAAATAAATTTTACATTACTATATAAAATTTACATTCCATTTAAAAAAAAAAAAAATTTGTTTACGAAAGAAAAATGATAAAATGAAGATCTATAATAGAACAAAAAATGTATGATATAAATCAGTATATCTTTTCAAAAGTTACACTAGTTTTTCTGTTTTTAAGAATTTCGTCCCAACTAATCATTTACAAGTATCTTGAGAAACGAACATGACCAATTACATGGAAAGGTATCGAATTGCGAAGGATTTTCACGAATTTGTCGAGCAATAAGTCACTAGCTCCTTCAGGATGTTAAGTAGGATCACTGGGGTCACCGCGAGCTTTATGTTACAGGATCCATTTCGAATCCTCCTTTCAACGAACTGGTTGACAGCTCGTTTACAAGGATTTTAACCGGATTAATAGATCAAACAACCTTTTTTTACACAAATGCAGATAAAATCGTGGGAAACAAAGATGTCGAACTGCAAACAATTTTTAATTTGCAATTAATTATTCTGGTAAATTATTTTATCTACAAATTACTTTATACATGATGAGACATATAAGTATTTTATATATTTTATTCTATTTACATATATTAAATGTACATTATTTATGTGTAAGTTAGTCACATATATAAAATATTTAGAACAAGAATAATTATTTTATTTATTCTTATTTACATTGTATTTACATTCTCATCTATATTGAAATATTTAGTATTATTTTAGTCTTCATGAATGTGATTTTTCATTACAAAATAATTTTTCAAACTTGGGCTAATGACCATGGCAGTCGATGCCCATAACACTAATCGTCATCATCATCATTTTTCAAATTAAATTGAAAATTAAAGTCACTTAATTACAGTACATTTAATAACAGTATCTAACAATCTAAATTATACATTGCAATATCTTTTATTTAGAAAATTTATTATTTTTCTTGAGGAACAGTAGGTCCAACGTCAAGGTCCTCGAGACAAAAGAACGTTCATGTCAAATCTAAAATCGTCTTTTTAAATAGCAGGCAATAAAAAGTGGAACGTCGCGGATATCCGGAAGAAAAACATTTAGAGCAAAGGTCAATTCCGTAGCAAAAAAACATAATTCGTAGACTGACATCCCGAAGGGAGATAGCAGGCAAGGATGGACCAGGTGGCTGCAGATGACGCAGAACCAAACTATTGGACGAGAACCTCTAGGAAAAACGAAAGAGGAGGACCAAACGAAATGAAGATGCTTTTGGAAAGCTCCGCCCGATTTTCAGGGCGTCTCAAAACTCCCTCTTCTCTACCAATGCTCTTTTTCGTTCCTCTCTTGCCTCTCCTCACAGAACTTCCTCCTCTTGGTCAACAGTTTTGACGTACAATTAGTTTCGCGTGAGCCGTCGTGGTATTTCGATAATAAGTATTTCAGAAAAGGTCGAGCTCGTCGGAAAAGATCAAGGTCAGATCTTTGTTCTCAACCCTTTGAAGTTTGAAAAAGAAAATCGTATTTTCTTGCAAGTTAGAGTGAGGAGAGAGCAAGTTAGAGGATAATTTGTGACAAGTTTTTTCCTTTCTTTAGAGATTTATTATTTCTTTTGCAAATTGATTTCACCGAAAATATGTGACACTGCAAGTGACTGATGGGCAGTAACTAAAATTTAGTATATACTGACGAGTAGTAAGAATGACGAGTGATTAATTGCAGAAAATGCCAAGGAAGCGACGTGCTTCGACATCGACGTTGGAAGCCGACGAGGACGAATTCGGCTCGGACGAAAAGTACAGCAAGGACGAATTAGACAGCCGTGCACCAAGAAACGCGGCGAATGCGAGAGAACGCGCTCGGATGAGAGTTCTGAGCAAGGCATTTTGCAGATTGAAAACCACTTTGCCTTGGGTACCGGCTGATACGAAACTTAGCAAGCTGGACACCCTTCGACTTGCTGCGACTTATATTGCACATCTTCGCGCTGTACTTAGGGATGACGGCGATGCGCATTCGGAAACGACTAGATCATTATCTTTGGCTTTGGTAAGTTTTCGTATTAATTAAAAAAGTCATTGAAAAGGACTCCTCTGGACACAGAGGATTGTACATAGAAATTATTATCAAAAACTAGTAAATATAGTCTGAATTAAAATGCATTTGAATAAAAAAAATTGTTGAGAATCTGTCGGTTTAGTGACAAAAAAATAGAAAATATCTTTGGATTGCCATAATGTTCACGTTTACTAGTTTTCTAAACGCGTTCTTTTAAAGGCAGTGAAAATATAAAATTATGTGAATGAAGTACGTATATAACTTTTGATGCATAGACAGAATTATTTCGACAATATAAAATAACCAGAAAATAATTATTTAGTCAATCGTTAGTAATGAAAAAAGCATTTGTCCTCTTCCTAAGGTTCTATTTATAGAAATATATAGTAAATCATTTTAATTTTTGTACGAAATTATATTCTACGATTCTCTAGTTTAAACCAAAATTTAAATGAACGATAAACAAAGTTTAATAAATAAATTATAAATTTGCGTTATTAAACTATCGTGATACACTCATTGTTCAAAAAAAAAAAATTGAATAATACAAATTCTGTCAAGAAAGATTAATATCAGAATACAAGTATCTGAATAACTTTTAAAAGTAACTACGAAAAAGTTTTTTTTGATTTCTTCGATTGCAATTTTCCCTACTTCGTAAAATAACAGAATCCAGGTGGGTCCAATCGGCGTCGCAGCGTCGTCTTTGCAGACGCGATCTCTGTTTACGTCTCTCCAGGTGGATGAAATCACTTTTAAAGCTTCCACCCACCCTTTCCACCATTATAATTCTAACTTAGTTCTGTTATTTGAAGAACGCCTCTCCACTCATTTAGCATCGCGTTTATATTTCTGTTGTTTTCATCGACGAGAATTATTGCAGTTTAATACAATCGAAACAGTGGCAACGGCACGTTGTTCTTTTCAGGACGAATTGTTTTAGGAAAATTATAAAAATCATTCGCATTTTTATTTTACTGTACCGACTTTTATCCATTGAACGCGATAAATATATATAGAGGTCTATTTTCTTCAAAAGCTTTGAAATATTGAAATTTGCTATGTGGTATACCTATCTCTACGGATGTGCGTCAATTTCACGCGATCGTAATGTAAATAAAATTTTTAGTAAATTAGTTTTACCCAGGCAAAAATTACAATAATAATAAATATGAGTGCACCGACAATACCTTATAAACGACGGACTTCGCTAGTCCGGAGTCGCACGCGGCCGACTCAGCCGATATGCCGGGTTCGGACCCGGGTCGCAGTACAAATCGCGGTTCGCAGGGTAGAGGGAAGTAAAAATATGAATGTAGAATATTGAAGTAATGTACTAAAATATTATTGAATAATAAAAACTTTCCATAAATATCTCATATTTTCATTTCTTACTTTTAGTGTTTAATTATATTCTAAATGGTTGTTTTTCTTTAATATGTATTCGTTCATGCCTCAAATTGACGCGTATTCGTAGAGATAGGTATATAAGAAATGTCCGTAAACCTAGTGCTAAATGTTAGGGACGTTTTCTATATGTCGATCATTGGTAGTAGGAATTGAAATTAAACGAAATTGAATCGTGGTGAGAATGTGAGCCAGATTCGTATTTTAGTTACGTGCGTCACGTGCGTCACGATATTGTAAGGCAAGGTTAAATCTAAATAAAAGAGTGAAAAAAATTAAAGTGGTCTGGTAAATAAGTGAACGAGAGACGATATTGTAAGACAAGGTGTTAAACCTAAATAAAAGAATCAACAAAATTAAAGTGTTCTGTAAATAAGTGAACGTTCCTTTAAAAATGAATGTTCCTTTAAAAATAAACGTCCAAAAAGATGTTAAAAAGTAACAATTCTGTTACAGTCGTGGCCGTTCGCACTTCAAGGCAGCAACGCTTCGATGTTGATGAACAACAGTTGTAACGTATCATCTTCAACGTCCTCGAGTTCTAATCAGTACCGTGGTCAACAGGGAGCCCACGAGATTCAGAATTTCCATCAGCCTGCTCATCAGAGCATGTCAATGCGTCACAATCACGAGCCACAGCTCTCCTATTTCTAATACCACTTTCAAACGAAAGGATTTAAGCCTTTTATCACGGTCCACGAGCGGGTTCGGAATCTGTATTTATTTCGAAGTGCCTTCAACTATTTATTGATATAATTAATGACTTGAACATTAATATCGCATATGTTTATTATTATTTGTAACCAAAGTGTAAAAACTAGTCTAATAAAGTATTTCTATAATTCGATATTAAACTTATGGGTCTTTTCGAAGCAAACTAGTCTAGTAAAGTATTTCTATAATTCCGTAATAAAATTATGGGTCTGTTCGAACATCGCTTAGAATTTTATTACAATCGGAAGAAAACTTGTTTCTTGAAACGAGTAAAGTATGGTGAAATTATCCTAAAAAAAAAAAAAAATGAATAATGTTAGGTTTAATAATGTACGTAGATGTAATTAACTATTTCCCTTTACGCATTGTTTCACAAATGAGTCTGTAAAAATTATTTCTCTCGTAAAATTCAATAAGGGACGAAAAAACAGAGATTCATAAAATGTGAAAGATGGTTTGTATTGACATATGAGGATCTTAAACGACATGCTCAACCTCGGTCGATTTGTAAATGGAACAAGATGTATTATTTTAGTCTCAGGTTTACACAAAAGGCCCTTCGCGCTGTTTATTTAACTTGGCGTTCTTTATCCTTCTTTCCTTACCACGTCCTTTCCGGAAGCAGCTCACATTTTTTCTAATAACATCGACTGTCTTTGAATTTTTGCGGTATAATTAATACTCTTGAAATTAAAAAGAAATGTTTAATTATTTCATTTAACTCTTTTTAGACTTTTTAATAAATGTTAAGTCGTAAAATGTTTAATATCGAATTTGTGCATGGAATCTTTAGAATATTAATTACAAGTTTTAAGGATAATGTTTTAATTATTTGCATTTAGTAATTAGTTGCAACATTTTGTGAACTTTTTCATGGTACATCGTATTTAACTCTAAACGAGAATTTGACGATATATATTAGGTTGGGGAATAAGTTCGTAGCGTTTTGACATTTTCTTTTTTTTTACAGCGATATTTTGCAATTTGCAAGAGGTTATAATATTCATTCTCTAGAGCTCTTTCTGCTCTACAAACCTGTGTTAATAGTTTTTTTCAGTAGATTCATTCGTCATTACTATTGAGGCTCAGAAATGGAATATCAAAAAGGTAAAAAGCAGCATTTTCGACACCTGCTCTTCTTCGCTTTCCATTGCGGCCAAAAAGTTGTGAAAAGTAGTGAAAAGTTGCTGAAACAGGCCGGGATATTTGCAATGTATACGGAGAAGGTGTCATAGGTGAGTCGACAGTACGGAAATGGTTTGCAAAATTCAACCTAAGGTTGGGCAATAAGTTCGTAGCGTTCGCTTCGTGATGCACCCAGGCTCCCAATTTTTCGACAAATCCCATTGAATGGAGATGATTGAAAATAGTTTTGTGGTCACAGTTCATTTTTTCGACCAATTCACGACTATTTTGAGGACCATCCTGCTTCACAAGTGCTCGGAGACGCTCTTCGTCGAATTCAGAAGGTCTTCAGCTGCGGGGCGGGTTTTCGACGTTAAAATCGCTATTTTTGAATTTTGCAAACCATTTTCGTGCTGTCAACTCACCTATGACACCTTCTTCGTATACATTGCAAATATCCCGGGCTACTTCAGCAGCTTTTTGGCCGCGATGGAAAACGAGGAAGAGCAGGTGTCGAAAGTGCTAATTTTTACCTCCTGAATATTCCATTTCTAAGCTTCAATAGTAATAACGAATGAAACTACTGAAAAAAACAATTAATACAGTTAATCGTTTGTTGAGCAGAAAGAGCTCTATCGAATGAATATTATAACCCCTTGCAAATTGCAAAATGTCGCTGTAACAAAAAGAAAATGTCAAAACGCTACGAACTTATTCCCCAACCTAATATTTAAAATTTGAATATATATTAAATACTTTGACTACATATTATACAATCATTAGTATAAATTATACTGTAGTTATACCTACAGGCACTGATAGCCATAAAAACTATAGCTAGCCTGTAGGTATTGTCAGTTCCTGTTTTATATGTGTAGATTAAATAAAAAATGATACACGTGGCGCCCTCTAGCGGCACTTGTGGGAACTAATGAACCTGCAGTTTCAAAACCGTGTAGTTCACCTTGTTCTCCGAAGAGATGGCACTGAACGTTCCATTTCCGTTCATGACGTCTCTTCAACAAAAAACGCGCGTAAATTTGAATTTTAAACGACATATAAGAATGAAACTTTTAGAAAAATATGAAACTATTATATATTCAGAACAGTTCGCACATTATACTAATAAAAGTTTTTTTGGTAAAACAGGAAATATTTTTCGTTTACGTCCTCAAAAGCTGTTCTCACAGTTGTTTCCTTCTGGAAAACGCTTATTTGCAAAATCTTGCAAAATTAATAAATATATAGTAAATATGTAGCATACTAATCAATGAAATCACTATTGTATGTATGTATGTATTTATTACAGCCTTGCACTCAATAAAATCAATATTAATTAAATTAAAAAAAAAAATAGAACTGGTAGCGCCATCTCTTCGGCGAACAGGGTGAACTACACACTTGTGAAACAGGTCCTTAATTAGTTCCCACATTCTACCACCAGAGGGAGCCACCAGTATCGTTTCTGTGGCGACGCCTATTTCCGGTGTGAAAGCGCAACGGAGAGTGCATTTCCGCGCGTAGGAGGTCCATTCTCTCGTGGAACGCTTAGGCGAGTTGACGTGTTTTACAGTTATTCATAGTTAGTAATCTCTGCGATTTTTGTAGTAGTGCACGGAACGTGTATACAGACTATTTAGCCCGCACTGATTTTGTTATGATTAATTGTTACTAAATATATTTGTTAAACATAGTTACCCAGTTTAAACGCAGTAAAAATTATTTACCCCTTCTCACGTCGTTAGAGTAGAGTTCCCTATTTCCTGGAGCAGAACTCTACATTTCAGTTCAATTCAGTTAATATAATTGATTTTATTAGTTTAATTAACTTGAATAGACATTAAACTACATTGGAGTACAAAACTAATTAACTACCGAATGTTTTAACTATACCAAAACATTATCAATTTTAAACAATTCTATGGCTAATGAAAGTAATTCCTGTTTTGCATTTGTAGATAATGTCAATTTACAATTGTTTTCTTTTATTGAAATACACTTCAGATCCAATACGGACCTATATGTGTTTATCTTTATTGAATACAAATATAAATTCTTTTAACAAATTAACAAAAATAATTTTTATATAGAGTTTGTTTTTTTCTATATTTAAAATTGTCAATTAATATTAACTTTCAAAAATAACTGATTTATTGAAATTGATTTAAAAATATGTGGTTTTGGATTCAGATTTGATTATGGAATGAATAACGAACGTTTTTCTTTTAGAAATACAATTGAACATAAATAAAATTGATTATCAAATACAAATAAAATTCTCCTTTATCAACGGCTTAAAAATAGAATTCTTCTTTTCCGACGATGACTCCGATGATCACCACATTCATATCTTCACTTTCGCCATCTGGTGGCGCGCTATAGGAACTAATTAAGGACCTGTTTCAAAAGTGTGTAGTTCACCCTGTTCGCCGGGGAGATGGCACCACATGTTCAATTTTATAGAAAATTTATTTAATATTGATTTTGTTGGTTTAATTAACTATAATATACATTAAATTACTCTAGAAATCAATAATAATTAGCTACAGAATGTTCTAAAAATATTAATTTTAATATGAATTAAAAATATCTACTTTTAAGATAGTGGACCACACTACTAAACACCATCACTTACAGAGATATTATAGATATGCATTATTATAATATAATTACACTTCAAAATAGAAAATCATTTTTATTTAATATAGAAAATCATATGTATTACATAGTCTTTCAAACTGTGTATAAAAATTTTACAAAGGAAAACATCAAAAAGATTTAAATAGAACAAATTGTTTCAATCTAAAATGTGTGTAAAATAAAATCATGAAATATACATCAAAATAAAGAAGTATAAATCAAATTCCTCAAACATTTTCAAACATTTCAGCCACACAAAAGAGACATGAAATATGTATCTAAAAAAAACAACAGTATAAATAAAATAAACCAAGCATTTTTAAATATTTCAATTATTTAAAATAGACATGGACTATGCATAAAAGAAAAACAAATGTATATAAAAAAAATTGTAACATTTAAAAATGTTCAAACATTTTAAACATTTAAAATTATTTAAAAATTGCAAAGATATAAAAATATACAAATATTTCAATCGTTTAAAAATGTTTATACATTCTAACGATTTAAAAATGTTTAAATATTTCAATCATTAAAAATATGTTCAAATATTCTAAATGTTCACAAATGTTCAATCACTCTAAATATTTAAAAGTATCTAAATATGTCAATGATTTAAAAATGTTCAAATATTTCAATCATTAAAAACATGTTCAAATATTCTAAATGTTCACAAATGTTCAATCACTCTAAATATTTAAAAGTATCTAAATACGTCAATGATTTAAAAATGTTCAAACATTTCGATCATTAAAAACATGTTCAAATATTCTAAATGTTCACAAATGTTCAAACACTATAAACATATGAAAAAGTCCAAATATGTCAATCGTTCAAAAATGTTCAAACATATCAATCACTTCAAAATGTCCAATAAAAAAATTTAAAAATATTGCAACGTCCCGATCAATCAAAACAACACCTCATTCCAAAGATTTCTGCGACTGCGAAGGACTATCAGTCTGCAACTGAGTGACGCTGAGTTCCGTCCAAATAACGGGTTCACCATCCAACTTCTCCAACGTTGGTAAACGTCTCGCGACCTCTGCTCTCCACTGTTCCACCTCCATACTCTCGTACAACGGATTTCCAACAAAGAGTAGATCCTGAAGATTAGCCAGTTCTTGGAGCCTGTTGAATTCGTGCCACTCTCTTACTAAATTGTTCGACATATAGAGCACGCGAAGATTCCTCATGTAGTTGATTCCTTTCATCTTCTCGATCAGATTATACGAAATCCATAGTTCCCTCAGGGTATCGCCTAATGCCTCCAACCCGGAGAATGATTTAATCAGGTTGCGACCCAACGAGAGGATCGTCAGATTTTTCAGGGTTCCGATTCCTGTCGACAAATAAAAGTGTATTAATTTTGAGGTTCTTTAGAAAACTGCTTACTTGTCATCGGTTCTTATCGGGTTTTAAAAATATGGCTGAAAGGAGTACTAGTATTATACTTATTGACTTATGAAATTAGAGTTGAAATACACTTTGAAATTAGAGTTGAAAAATAGACAAAACTTAAATTAATACTTTGATAATTTGTCCCAAAGAAAATCAACACAGACTTAAAAGGAACTAAATTAATATACTCTGGAATTTAAAATAAGAAATTTGTAAAAAAACTCATTTGTCTCTTGCTAGTTTTAAAGACTTAAAAATTTGAAACCATTTCTGACGTTAAATAAAAATTTCATAATACGAAATATAAATAGTAAAATAAAATTTTGAATTCCGTTATATTTGTACAAATATTTTTCTTAAAATTTTGAGTGCATTTTACGTGCAAAACATGAGTGTGTCTGATTTTAATGAACCTAGTTAGTGTTTTGTTTCAATAAGACTGGAGAATTTATAAAACAAAGATACCTGCAATTTTCTCGATCATATTGGTCGACAGTGAAAGCTTCTCACAATTGACTAAAGTCGCCAAAGCATTGTCCATCTTCTCTATGGGGGGCCACTGAAAGCTCAGGATAACTTCTTTAGCGGTGGAAGCTTCTTGTCCATTCTCCTCTTCCCATCGCCGAATCGCTTCTTTACAGGTGGTCGGTTTCGCATTCGCCATACTCTCCGCTCATAATAGAATTTCTACGGTTCTCCGTGAAATTTCTCCTGTGAAAAAGGATTTCTGACCAAAAACAAGCGTGGGAGATCCATATGTGGTACATAGTGAATGATATATACAGTGTTACATATGCTTTATAAATTACGAAGCTTATTTTTTGTAGCTTTGATGCTGATAACTCGATAAATTATTATTAGACATTGAGGAATTACGTTGAGTATTCTGCAATTTTATTACCTTGCGAAGAAATTATGGAACAGTTCGTTTTGGTGGTTCAAAGTTATGGTATGTCATTTTTTAGGATTTATACAATTTTTTGACGAGTACTTGATTACTGAGTTACAGATTCATGTGAACTTTTAATTAATTAAAAGAAGCAACAGCAAAATAGAATTTTTATTACTGTGATTTTAAGGAAAACAAGCTGCAACATTTTATTGAAGAAATATATACTACGTATTACACATTTTCTTACATTTTATTTACAAATATTTTGCAGGTGCTGTAAATATATTTTTCTTGCAATACAATTTTTAACAAAAATAATTATCAAATAAATTATCAAATAATTAGACAATTCGTAATAGAATCAAACTTAAATAAAATACACACCAAAATTACCGAAAAAGAAGTAATAAATTACTAAAAAAAGATCAGATATTTTACTAAATTAATTCTGTAACGAATAAATTTTAATCCCTATTAAATTGCGTTCAGCTAAGGATTTACCCCATAAAATCAACATTACTTCGATCCCGTGAAATTAATTATTCACCCTCGGAATCCTTTCGGTGTTTTATCCGATGATTGAATGTAAATTGCATTTCATCACAATATACTCTCTTCTCTCTCTTTTTTCAAAAATTCCACATTTCATTGGATTATCGTTTGTTATCTTTTACCAAAGCGTTCGAGGTTACAAGAATTCGACATTCGTTTTCCTTCGTGGCAGACTGCCACGACTGGAGCCTGGTAATATCTGGCACCAATCAAAATAATCGATTCACATGGACGCATGCGTTTGGCGAGCATTATTTATCAACCAAACGTCGCGATCGGATTTACGATGGATATTAACATTGAAAAACTACAGCTTTCCGGATTGCGTGCTTTCGACGAAGAGAATTTCTTTAATCGATTTTCCCTTAGAAAATTTCAAATGCAATTTCAAGTGAAATTTAACACTGGGTTTACGGACATTCTTACTATCACTACAAACACGCGTCAATTTGACGCAAGAACGAATACGTATTAAAGAAAAACAACCACTTAGAATATAATTAAACACTAAAAGTAAGAAATGAAAATATGAGATATTTATAGAAAGTTTTTATTATTCAATAATATTTTAGTACATTACTTCAATATTCTACATTCATATTTTTACTTCCCTCTGCCCTGCGAAATGCGATTTGTACTGCGACCCCGGGTTCGAACCGGCATACAAGTCCAACACCCCAAATTAGGATTAGCGTGCGACTCCGGAATAGCGAAGTCCGTCGTTTATAAGGTATTGTCGGTGCATTCATATTTATTATTGTTGTAATTTTTGCCTGGGTAAAACTAATTTACTAAAAATTTTATTTACATTACGATCGCGTGAAATTGACGCACATCCGTAGAGATAGGTATACCACACAGCAAATTTCAATATTTCAAAGCCTTTGAAGAAAATAGACTTCAATATATATTTACCTCGTTCAATGGATAAAAGTCGGTACAGTAAAATAAAAATGCGAACAATTTTTGTAATTTTTCTAAAAAAATTCGAAACACGTCAAAAATGACACCCCTTCTTCTTTCACCCTTTTTACCTGTTCCACCCACACTTCTCCTAAAAAGCAGTCTCGACAAGCAAAAAAGCAGTGTCAAGATGTATTTCCAAGATAGAAGGTAACAAAACAGTAGAGAGAAAAAAAAGTGGAAAAAACAACAACCTTCGAATGTTCTTTTCTTTATTATCACTGATGTACAATAATCCCAAAGGATTAGAAGCATTCGTATCCCAACAAGTGACAGTTTATATACTTATCTTACATTAAAACGTATCGGCTAAAGGAGTGATCCTTCTTATTTCTTGCTTTCCCCAAAAGCGTCGCGACAATTAAATAGATCAATGCCTAATCGAATCGTCTGGAATCTCTATCAACCCGCAGAGATGGCAGTATTGTCACGTCACGCACATTACAACGAAGAAACGCGATACAATTTCGGTATCATTTCTCTTTTCCTTTAATTAAGTACATCGATATATTCAGCTTGACAACAGCTAATCGTACGGGGACATCAAACGGGAGGAAAAAGAAGTCGATTTTGAGGTCTTCAACCTTTCGCTGGGAGTGATGTAAATAGAATTCATTTTAGTGGCTACAAGTCAGGATACAATTACTGATCATTGATTTGATAATCGCAAATCGCAATTTTGGTAGAAATGAATTTGGTGATCACAAGTTGTAATACAATTTTGGTGATCATTTTGAAGATCAAAAATCAGAATACAATTTTGATGATCATTTTTAGGATTAAAAATCACAATACAATTTTGGTAATAATAAATTTGATGATCACAACAATACAATTTTGATGATCACTTTGAGAATGAAAAATCATAATATGATTTGGATAATTGTAAACTTGATAATTTGAGGAGTTTGATGTTTCTATGCTACACAACTTTGAGATTACTAAATTATTTAAGTTTATTTCCCAATTAAAATTTTTGAAAAAAAAAAAAAAAGGAAATTAATAAGTGATAAGAGATTGAAAAATGCTCACATTACAAAATTTGCCTATTGTTTCTCATGGTAACAAACGCTGTTATAATTAATAAGAAAATGTCTCCACAGCGAAAGGATCAAGACTCTTTTTTGTTTTTGTATCGATAACAACAACGAACATCCGTTCTCTGGTTATCGTTTCGCAATCCGTTGTCATAAATCTGTAATGTCTTTGCACGTACAAGTTGATTCAAAAAGTTCTCCAAACACTTGTACAACAAAAGTTATACAAAAAGATGAACATTAATATAAGGTCGACTGTTTAAATAAATTATATGTATAAATAGTTTTTAGTAAATTGTTTAGAGTCTCTATTTTTAATAAACTGATTTTTATAAATTCTTTAAAGAGTCTCTTTCTTCAAACTCTGTACAAAAATTTTATTTCTAATAAATTATTGAACAGTTGTTTCTTAAATAAACTCTTTAAAGAATTTTTTTTTACATGAACTGTTTAAAGAATCCTTTGTATTTAATAAATTCTTTAAAGAGTCCTTTTCATTAAATAATTTTTTAAAAATTTGATTTTTAATAAACTGTTGAACATTTAATTTTTTAGTAAACTATTTAAAGTATTTCTTTTTTAATAGACTGCTGAAGAATTAATTTTTTAAAGAACTGTTTAAAGAGATCCATTTTAAACAAACTCTTTAAATAGTCCTTTTTTAATAACCCATTAAACAATTCTTTTAACAAATTCAACAAAGAATTCTTTTTACAATGCACATATCTACAAAAATGAATATATATTGGAAACTTTTCGAATCATCCTCACATTTCCCGCAGTAACAATTAAAAAAACAAGAAAAAAATTGCGATTACAAGAATAATAAAAAGTAAAACAGAAGGAAATAACTGAGAAAGGAAAGTGACATAAGTAGAATAGCGAAGAACATTAAAAATGGTTTGAAATGCCATTTGAAAATGGTACACGGTACGCAATATATCGACACACACACGTTTCGTGGTTACATTGTTGTATTTTCCGGTAAGACTTACATCGAGTTAGCTTAAATTACAAAAATACAGAAAGGCACTTGATGAGAATCCCCCTTTCTCGTCCTCGTCGAAGTTTCTACGGAAGAACAGCGACAACAACAACGAAGATGCAAACCGATGGTGAACCATGAAGAGATGTAGCCGAATAAGATGGCCGAACGTGTCTTTGAACAAAATGAAACTCGCAATACGTTCGATTTTAAACGAAAAAAAAAAACAATTTATATCAACCCTGTATGTCGACTGATGGGGTGGTAAGGAGGAAAAATTCAAATTTCTGTTTTAACAACATTTTTGATGGCGTGGACAAATTGTAACAAACGTTGGATGACATAAGAAATAAATATTATAGAATTAAAAAATTTGAGACTTTGGAAAATTTAGGAATTAGGAAATTTAGGATATTGGAAATTTGAGAATTTGGGAATTTGTGAAATTGGAAATTTGAGAGTTTGGGGATTTGAGGGATGGGAAATTTGAGAGTTTGGGGACTTCAGAGATAGGAAATTTGAGAATTTGCGGATTTGAGAGATAGGAAATTTGAGGGGTTGGGAATTTGAGAAGGTGGAAATTTCAGGGGTTGGGAATTTGAGAGGTTGGAAATTTCAGGGGTTGGGAATTTGAGAAGGTGGAAATTTGAGGAGTTGGAAATTTGAGAGGCTGGAAATTTGAGGGGTTGGGAATTTGAGAAGTTGGGAATTTGAGA